AGTTTACAGGCTTTAAATATAGAGAGAGCTGGCTGATGTGATGGACAGAAGGAAGGTAGATGTGTTGTGTGTTGAACCAAGTGGAAGGGAAGGTGATTGGAGTAGATTTCATGGACATGTAAAGGAAGGAAACAAAGGTGGTGAGAAGGTTTTAGGTAGGTATGGTGTTAAGGAGAGAACTGATGTGGTGAACACTTCCATCAAAAAGATGTTGGAACATAGGATTACATGTAAGAGTGTAAGCAAGCTGCACACTGGCGGACTACATCCTATGCAAAAGGTGCAATCTGAACGATATGGGAGAATGTAGCTCGACAGCATCAGATGGTAGCCTGTATGATGGCTTGGACAACAAGAAGAGGCAGTGAGTGAGGGTAAGTAAATGTTGAAAGTTGAAGACTGATGCTGGACTAATGTTGGATGGAGTTCAGGAACGTGTTGAGACAGGCTGTGGGTGATAGGGAAGAGTTACCAGATGACTGGGAAGGTGAGGTACTAAGGAAGGAGAAAAGTCCTTTTATTAATTGTCTAGACAGAGATACTGAGCTGGAAATATGCTTAGGGGTTCTTTGGAGAAGAGAGGAGGATGGATGGATGGAGGACAGTTTGTGAATCAGGAAGTGCAGAGGATGAGTAAGCTGCCAGCCAAAAGAAGAGGAAAAGAAGAAGACCTCAGAAGACATTAATGGATGTCAATGTTACCACGTTTCAAAGAATACAGCAGAGAGAATGTCACAGGTCACATTCTCTTTGAACCCTAGAAGTATTATATGAAGAAAGAGAATAAAAAAGTGGCAAAAGTAGAAGAAAACATTTTAGTTAGACATAATCAAATAGTCACAGACTAAAGGCACTCTCTGTCACCAAAAGTGAAAACTGCCTTTTAAAACTACTGCTGATGCATCATTTCTAATCTTTGGCAGTTTTACTCTTAAAGATTTGAAACTGAAACTATGAGCAAAACACACACACACACACACACACACACACACACACACACACACACACACACACACACACACACACACACACACACACACACACAGATTTCTAGTCCAGCATCTCCATGTAAATTAAGTTAGATTTTAGAAAAAGAATTTTCTCCCACTGAAACAAACACCCAGCTTGCGCTCGCCATTTTCACCTTTGTGAATATTGGCACACGCCAAACGTGCTGGTATGCATCACACCTTCATGTTTCAGCTGGCCACTTCTGATGTTTCATTGCACAGAAATCCTGCATTTTTTCAACAGGGCTTTTATGGTGAAATATTTGCAGAAACATCTTTTTGTATTTATTACTATCTTGTGTCCCGACCTAGCAAAGTTTTTAATATCACAGAAAATATCAAAACTATTCACTAACAATTACAGGGGATTACAAAAATGTAACATGCTCAGTTGTTAGAAGTGGAATGGTAATATTTGCTGTCACCAGTTTGCAGCCTGCTTTAAGCTTTGGATATTTTTAAAAAAGTTGAACCCTTCTCAGCTGGCCAACTTTTGAGGCTTTGAGTCGTGGCGTGTGTTGCCGGCATTTGAGCTTCAATTCCCATCATACGGCAAGAGTCTCTTACTGCGAACATGGTGTCAGTGTCATTGAAGCAGCGCTCCTTTACTTTTCCATCTATTTATTGTAGTTTTCTCTGTTTCTTTCCTCTGCACATGATCTCTTTATCTCAGTCCTTGTCTTTTTTACTTCGTTCTTTGTCTCTCTCCATCCTTAGGCCTGTGTATCTTAGTCCATCCTTGCATGGAGATTGACTGGAGGCATGAATACATCACAGCTAGCCATCCATGTAACCCTCCCTTCCACCCCCCCATCTTCACCCATCATCCTCCCCTCCACCCTCCCATTTCTCCAAGATCCCTCTCTCAGCACTTATCTCAAAGTTCGGATCTCATGCATTTTAATCGGCGTGTCTATCTTCCTTTCTCCCTCTCTCCCTCTTTTCTTTGACTTTGGATCAGTGGCATCCTTCAAACAAACAACAACAACAAAACAACCCCCCTGCCGCCTCCCCACTGGCTCCCTATCCCCTTTTTAAATCAATATTTGCCATCAGCGAATAAATCGTATAATTTCCTGGCTGTTAGAAGAGTGCGACGCCGACATATTTACCTTCCACTCGTCTATTTTTTTTGCCTTCGATCCCTCGTTCTCGCGGCGTGGCTATTAGCTAAGTGAAGGGGATGGATGGCCGTGAAGCACCGAGCGATAGCATCTCCATCAGAATCGTCGACATTGAAAAATGGCCGCCGCCTCTCTGATGACAGAACAGCAAAAACACACACACACACATACACACACAAACATGCATGCATACATACATCCACACACACACATAGAGTCACAGAAGAGACATTTAAATATTCAAATAGGGCCGGGTGGTAATGATAAACGACAAGGGAAAAGTAGAATTGAGTAGCTATCGATGCAGAAAATGAAAAGAGGAGAAAGAGAAAAGAGGAGAGGAGGAGGGAAATTAAGCCAAAAAATATGGAGGCATGGAGGGAGAGGAGAGTTATGCTAACAAGCGAAAACAGGGAAGACAAGAGATGGATGGAAAATAGGATGGATGAATTAGGCAAATAAGTGCAAGTGGTGTTTTACAGTAGATAAAATAAATAAATGTGGAGATTTAAAAAGATGGATTGAAAGAAGAGAAAGGGCAAGTGGAACAAGAACTACGAAACTAAACCTTGGACTTCATAAAATAAAGGGGACATAATGGCTGGAAGGGCATGCAGAACCCTGGAAGTACTTGCTAAAGACAAGACATTTAGCCAGTTTAGAAACCAGAAAGTGAATCTATAAGTCATAAATGGAAGAATTGAAGTTGCCAAAAATCAAGACACCACAAAGAGTAAACAAAGATCAGACCACAAAAAAAGGAGCTGGAGAGAAAACTCGAGAAACAAGCAAAAATGTGGTTGGTTGGAAGCGCAATATCCAGAGAGAAGAACGAAAGGGAGAAAGGAAATTAAATCAACTCAAAATGATGTGGTTTAGCATCAAAGAACTTCTGAGCTGAAATAAAAGGAAGAAAAAAAATCAATATGAAAGCACAAAAGACATAAAAATGAAGAGCTTTGACAATTAAGGTACACTTTACTGCCATTCTCTCCATAAAGTCAGTGTACTATAGAAGACAATTGCTGCTGTGCACAACAAAAGTGAAGAGGTAAAAATACGAGTGGTGCCATTCCTGTTTGGGCGTAAATATAAATCTGATTATTTGTACTGCAACTTGATTTCTTCTTATGGGCTCTTATGGACTTGAAGGTAGGATTTAACTATGGGCGCCTACTTGGCAACGTTTAATGAAACAAAGTGACACAAGGTATAAGATCAGCCTGTTTTCCATTGTCAGTGTGATAAAAGACACAAGTAGGAAATTGCCTGGTCGATTGCTGTCAATCAGTTGTGTCAAAAACTTCCAACTTTGGGGAAAAACTGTGATATTTCTAGAAAACTGCATCAGTTGTTTTAAATGTTTTTTCTTCACATTCCTGAAAGTGTGACTTTTAGATTCAAAAATAGAAAAACCTGCAGCTCCGTCACTCCCCAACTACAGAACTCAAGCACAAAAGGGAAGGAAAATATTCAGCAACACTTGCTGGTACAAAATGGAGCATTTTTAAAATCTCTCCATAAAGGACTCCACAGTCTACCGTCAAGTGCCGCTGCGGTGTTTGATTCCTGCGCGACTGCGGAGCTGCAGAGGTGCGACAGAGTTTTTATCTTTAAAGCGGTCAAAGCAGGTGAAGCAGTGAGTGAAATCTGCTGAAAACTCCTGCGACACCCTCAAACGCTTCATCATGAGATGAGCTGCAAACAATAACAATAAAAAATGTGCTCCCGTTTGAAAGACCAAGGAATATTCTACTGAAAATCTGTCTTTTGAGCATTTAATACTCACCCCCTGTAGATGGATTCACAGCAAGTACAATGGATTCAAGTGGAGATCCAGTTTCATGGTGTCAACATGTCAAAACATAGAAACATTGACATTACAAATTTCCTTTGTCAAGCGTGTTTTGGAAGAAAAAAATTACCAGCAACCACTGCCTCAGTCGTTTATCCTCAGCAAGAGCTTTAAGTTTCCAGTACAGAACCATAAATAGTTCAACCGTATTTGTGTGCCCACACCTGTAAATGGTAAGTAAAAAGGTTAACTGTAGATATGCTGATGTTTTAATGATTTTAAAACATTAAACTGGACAGGATAGCTTTCTATAGGGTTATATATGGAAATGTGGAATGTGATTTTGAATGTACTAATCAACAGCGGTGAATTACACAGCCATACTGCCTTTTAAAATGTTGGTGCTGGACAAGTCAAGCTGGTTAAGCACATTATCAATTATTTCAACACTGTAAAGTGCATTAAAGGTGTGGTTGAAGCTATGCAAGTAACACCCATGTTTAAAGTGGCTTTTTATGCGCCAGGTTAAAGTCATCATATGTGCAAGTAATCCGTATGAGCCAATAGCTCAGATTTACAAATAAGATCAGATATTCCTAATATAATTATCTCAGGCACACACAGCCCCACCGACCTGATGAACAAACCTTATTTTTACAAGGGGCAGCCAATAAAAAGAAAGCAGGCTTAAAAAGAGGGTGACCTCAAAGGAAAGGAGCTAAAACAGCTTGTTGCTGACAGCAAATTAATGAGGGCCGGCACAAAGATCGAGTAGGAGATAAACAAGGATTATTTTGAATGCAGTATCGAGCAAGGTAACTCTAATAGAGTTCAAGAATAAAAATATGGAGCAGTCTCCTTCAAAGGGAAGGAAAATTGGTGGCTAATTTAAAGGTAAACATGTAGGAGTGGGACGAGCATAAATGCCCAGTCAGTGTGGTACCATTAATTAAGTTTATATTAATGAATCCCGAGTTTGTTTTTTAACTAGTGTGCTTCACACAGCTGCCAAACAAGAGTTAAATGTCAAGTTGGATTGTATCTGTTCATACGTGTGTCCTCCTTATCCAGAGCAGCCACACTGAGCTGATGATGATGGAGAGCAGAAAGACCAACCTGCTGGGCCGAGCCGAGTCTCTGAAGAGGAGTGGCACTGAACTACCGAGCAGCTTCCACTGCAAAATACACAACCTGACACACATGTGGAGACAGCTGGAGGTAACACACATGCACAGTAAGACACAGTAGAGCCAAGTTTTAGAAGATACAGGAGTGCAACTGTGGCACCATGGCCACAGAGATAGTATATCACAGTAATACTCCGTTGAGACTGTGCATACAAGTCTGTGTTTCTATGTGTGTGTGTCTGTGTGTCTAATTTTAGGCTAATCAGCACTGATCCAATCTAGAACATGAAGATGATAATTAGTGTCGTCTCAATTAGGGAGCCCTGCTGCCACCATGGCCTTTAACTGTGCAGTGGAATGCACAGACAGACAGACAGACAGACAGACAGATCAATCTACGACTTTAAATGGATACATCATACAGTGGTGACTTAGAAAACAGAAAACACATTCACCATAAAGTATACCGTGCTTTATTTCTTTCTAATACACATTGGACACAGTAACAGCTCTGAAGACATGCACACACACTAAAGAAAACCAGTGTAGGAATAACAGTTTTTATTTTTCTGAGATCCCAAAAATCTGAAGATAAAGCTTTGAGTTAATATTTTGGTCCATATCAACCAGAAAAGCTCTTCTGATGAGTCAACCTTTTTTGCAAGTTATCAGTGTGTGCTTTTGATGAAAGGCACACAGTGAGTCACAAATTATGTACTTCGATACATAGACCAAACCCCTCTGGCTATCCTGTATGGGGTGCTTTGTGAGTACGGGATGTGTGCCACTTTGTGACCGTTGCAGGAGCTTTGTCCTCATTCCCAGTAATAAGTTGGACTCGAGCCTGGTGTGTGTTTCACTCTTTCACAGCTACCCTTTGTCACTGATTCTGTTCATGGTTTTTATGGACAAGTCCAGCCAAGTGGCAGAAGGTTTTCACTTTGTTGCTCTTAGAATCTCATCTCTGCTTTTTGCAGATGATGTGGTTCTGTTTCCTTCATCGGGTGATGGTCTCCAGCTCAGACTGGAGCAGTTGGCAGTCAAGTTTTCCTTTGCCGGAAAAGGGTGGAGTGTCTACTCCGGTCAGGGATGAGTGACTGCCCCAAGTGGAGGGGTTTAAGTATTTCGGGTTCCTGTTCATGAGTGGCGTCATGGTGGTGCGGACGGTGCGTTGGTCTGTTGTGCTAAACAAACAGCTGGGAATGAAAGCAAAACTTCGAGATAGGATGAGGAGTTCAGCAATCTGAGAGGTGCTCAGGGTAGTACTGCTACTCCTTCACATCAAAAGGCGCGCATTGAGGTGGTTTGGGCGTCCTGAAAGGATGCCTTCTGAGTAACTCCTGGGCTGGGGAAGTTAAGATTACATCTGTTGGCCGGCCTTTTTAGCGCCTTGATAAGAGAGTGCAGTTCTGCACTGTGAGGTAGTGACTGGTGATCTCTCTGGTGACATTTCTGCTGTTGGTGGTTGAACATTAATGACACCTGAAGATGAAGTGCTGCATTTGTCAGTGGAACCCTAAACTTCTATTGATGATAATACACCTACTTATCTATAATTGTATACAGTGGTCCCTCGCTATAAAACCGTTCACCTTTTGCAGCCTCGCTGTTTCGCGGATTTTTGATTGGCTGCAGACCATTGTCAATCAATCTCGTGCTGTGTCTCCTGTACAGTACAGAATGCGTTCAGCTTGTCAAATTTACATAAATCTTCGATCGCTAGCAGTGTGACTCTGAAGTGCTGTACTGTATGTTTGTAAGTTTTCTCCCCAACAAACACAACATGGTCAACGATGAAACGTTTTGCACCGTCAAAGCCAACCGCGGGTGCCTTTGGTTTCATTCTATAACACTGGACTTATTTTTGTACGAAGGTTTGAACTTTGAGACAAGAGAGAAAAGTGTGAAAATGTTCATACCTGTCTGAGAAAAGTGTAGTGAGGGTTTTTACAGCCTTAAAACATCTATAATAATTGTAAAACATAAAGTTGGCTACTTCGCGGATTTCACCTATCGTAGGTTATAATTAGTAGTTTTCTTTAGCTTTTTTCTCCAAAGTGTCCGTGGCCAACTGGAGGTCACCTGATATTCATTGTGAAAAAGTTAAATAGACTTGAACCACCTGAAACAACTTTCATCTGTATGTCTTGTACTGTATTTGGGTCATTCCAAGGACTGAAGTGAGCTCCGCGTGCTTTGCTAATGGGTACGTTGGTGGCAGTTGTTTGTCTGTACCTCGGCGTGGTGATTAATTCCAGGTCTGCGGTGGGGTGACAGCTGGCGACGGCTCGTCAGGAGGCTGAAATTGCAGCGATGTGACTTTGTTCCTCCGAAGAAACAAACCGTCTCCTGTCGACCGAGTGGCACGTCACACAAACAGAGAGAAGCAACAGAGGAGCAAACACCATCTGCGTGTGTGCGCGTCATTTCCTTGTAGTCCCTAATGATGACACACACGCACACACACACATACACAGTATTGCCTCACTCATAAAAGTTATTGGAAGTGTGTGTGTGTGTGTGTGCATTAACATATGTATCAACCTTGCTGAAACGGATTCAATTTTAGAAATTAAACAACAGCAACAGATGAGTCTTTCTCTCTGCCTCTCTCTCTGCATCGTGTGTATTTCCGCCACAGTAACCAGGCTGTGATTAAACTTCTGTTACTGACGGGGAGGCATTTGGACTCTGAATGCCATTTCCCACGCATGCATTAAAGTTTGTGTGTGTGTCATCAGGTTGGGAGCTCTTAATCTCACATTCTCACTCGCTCTCCTGGTTTTCCTTCATCCGTCACCTCTTCAAATTCTGCAAGTATGTGGACACCCCATTAGCATGTCACAGTTACCAGAACTGAAACCAAACAGCTTTTGAAAAGGCAAATGCCCAAAAAAACGCCACAGCTGTCCATTCCTGCAGGTTCTTAGTGTTTAGCTTAAATCATCACTAATAAGTAAAGAGACTAGAGGTTGGCATCTTGAGTAATTAGATGACAGAAGTAGGCACAAGTTGTAAACATGGGATTCTTTCCCATCATCGCCTTCCCACCCACATGATGAAAACGCTTCTCTTACGCAGTTAAGCTCTATATTATTCAGGTCCTGTCATCTCCATATATGATTGTGGGTAACTGGCATCATTGCCATTGGAGCAGGGACTTAACATACAACATAAGACAAAACTGTCTGCTTGCCATAACACATACTGTGCAGCACTGGCTCAGACAACTATGCATATATAAATATGTAGTGGCAAAGATTATATTTAATACAATAATGCATATAATTTTTATAAGTTAACATCAATCCCCAAGATAATTGTCCATAACCATACTATGTTAACCAACTTTAAACATATGCCAAGGCAGCTCACTCTCTTGGCAATATTCACTTTTAAGGGGATAGCATTCTATTTTTATATAAACATTAAGTATAATAATATTATAAATGTATTTCGAACTAATTAGGCAGCTCATTCTCTTTCTCTTGACAATCCTTTCTTTAAAGATGTAACACATTTTGCGGTCGACTTGAATGAAAGGCAGATGTGAAATGTAAAAGTGAGATCAGAGGTCAAATATGACATGATATATGATTCAGACTATGTGTTGTTTATAATCCTCATACACCAGCATCATTTCCTAAATGCTGCCAATACAAAGGCAGTAAAATGTTCAGCATAGTTTTAAAGATAAAAGACAAATTTGGCCTTAGATGACCTTGAAGAAGAGGTCATCACTTTGACCTTCAGATCAGTCTATTGATCTTGAAGTAAAGGTCAAAGGCCAATTGTGACCACCACCACACTTTTTAAGAATCATAGTTTCTAAGTAATACGTCTTTTTTCGATTTCCTGCCAACAAATCATTAAGTTGATCTTTTTTGATGTTAACATGACCCCACTCTGCACCCCTACAAACCTTTAGCAAAATTAAGTGACAACTTTCTTTCACAAAGAATAACACGCTACCGAAAACAACCTATAACAAAGCCTTTATTATTGGCAGTGCTGAGGACTGTAAACCAGGGAACCAAGTTTATTTTTTGCTTGGGAAATTATTTTGTTACTTTTTGTGATGAGTTATGTTCGTTCTGTACTACCTTTGTTGAACGCGATTTCCCCGGAAGCTCAGGTTTCTTTCTGATACTTCCGATGTTGGATTGAAGCCTAAAGAATTCTTTCTTGATTAAAAAAAGGTTTCATTGTTTTTCAAGGTTCCATGTCCTCCCAAAACGCAACCTGTTGTATCAACACTATTAAGAAGAATGTGCACTCTTAATAATAACGCCAGGTGAGCAGGATGAACAGGGACCTCTTCTGTCTTCACCCAAACTTTCAGTCTTTCTATTTCTTCTATTTCTGTCTCCTCCCAATCACATTTATTTCTCCTCCTTTACCTCTGATATTTGTTTCCCTGTTTTCCTTTCATTTTACTTTTTATCACTCTATTTCTTGCAGTGTTAAATCTTAGCTTATGTTAAGTATGTCAGAGGTCTCACTTGTTTCTGTCTTTCTGTCTTCTTCTCCTTCGGTCCTTTGCTCTCTCCTCACCCTTCCAACCTGGCGCCTCAGTGGCGTATTAACGGGCCTGTCGGTGCTCGCGTCGGCATCTGGTGCTCTGACACAAATTGGGAATTAACTGGAATTGATGTCCTGTGTCTCGCCTCTGAACTATCCTGGCCTTATGAAGAATTTATGACATAGCAAACACACGCACACACACAACCTGAATGATGAAGAAATAAAGAGGTTGTAAATTAGCTTTCATCTTTTCTGTCATGCTTTTTGGCAGCCAGATTTTTTTGGGGGGCGGTTTTGCAGCTGTTCAAGGTCAAACTGTATGTGTATGGATATTTACAGTACATACACTGGATACTATACACATAATGTGGAGGCAGAGCTGACAGGAATGAAATGAGCTTGAGCTTAAGCTTGAGAATCAGGCTTCACAGCTCTTTAGCAAACAAACAAATATTTGGAGATCTGCTGGTCGTCTTGCCTTGTGATATGAATATGTTCACCAATGTATGTTTTAGGAAAAAATGTTTTTGCCTGCTGTCTTGGGAAAATGTTCTTTATGTCTCTTAAATTACATCCTTGATGGCAGCTATTTCTCCTTGGATATGAGCTATCTTGCTCTCGTTTCTCTTTCTGTTTCTTGTTCTCTCCGTCAAATTAAGAAGACATTCATGATCTTAGCACAAAGCTAACTGCACACTTGACTGTTTGGGGTCCTGTTGTTGCAGTTGTTCATTGTCTAATGGGTTGTTATTACCTGCCAGAGTTCAGCTAAAGTGCTTTCTCCTATACTAACGACTCAGTACCTTTTGTATCAACACACACATATATATATATATGCAAATTAACAACAGAAACCCACATTGGGCTTGTTCAGGAGCAACTCTGTGTTCTGTTATTCCTGCCATGGCTGCTTGTTACAGTCATAGTGGAAACTTCAAGATAACAGCTATCTGAACCTTGAAATTTTTCCAAACAATGCATTATGAACCCTGAACAGGACAAGATACAGAGTACAGCTCCCACTGCAGAAACCAAAAGGTATGAAAAGAGAATTACTTCTGGTTTGCCAGCTATTTGGAAACATGGAAGGACGTAGTCGTTGTGTTTGTTGTATTTTACATGCTGAGAATGATGTAGTATAAGACCAAACCTTGGGACTCAACTTTCTTGCTTACTGGTTAAAATTGCTCCAATCCAACTTTATTTATAGAGCACTATAAAACAACATGATAGACCAAAGTACTTTCCAGTAAGAAACAGTAATAAAAGTTTAAAAAAAAATATGCATTAAACAGACAAAGAAAAGAAAATCACAATAAAATAAATAAATAAATGAGAAAAGATCAACATGAATAAGTAAATATTAAAACATGAATAAAATAGACGAATAATAAAATAACTAACTCTGGTATTACTCCTAAAATGCCTTGGAAAAAAAATCAAATGTTGATGCCAGCCTAATATGGAGGGGCAACTTATTCTATACATGGGAGCCGCAACAGCGAAAGCCCCGGTGTGTCAGTCTCGACATGGGGACAGCAAGGAGTGACTGGTCATATGATCTGAGAGAACGTTGTGGAGTGTATAAGTGTAGAAGGTCTGCCAGGTAGGTAGGAGCCAGGCCATTTAAAACTTTAAAAGCAAACAATAAAATTGTTTGTTTGTTTGTTTTCAAAGTGAAAATGCCACATTGTTAGTGTATGGATGTTTTGTGACATTGGTGACACCTTAAGACACAAACTGTTCCTAGCGTGTATTAAAGAATAATCGCTGTTATTATAACTTCTTCTATTAAAGTAAACATGGCAGTATGATCTTCCTATCTGCGAATCCTGACAACCTGTTCATGTATTACTGTTCCCTATTTGCCCACTGCTAGTAGCAAAGTGTTTTTGTGGGTTTTCTGAGCGTGGCTTATGTAACGGAGTTGGTTCTGGTAGTGATGTCATTTTTCAGCGGTTTTCAGTGATCATTTTTATTAGAACATTTGTAGTTATGCAGTGAGGTCAGCCGTACTGAGTTGCTCCTGCAAGGAAAAATTCAAAGAGAAAATATTAGGTATTAGATAATTAGTAATGACAACATGAAGATAACCTAGCAAAAGCATTAGCGCTACGTCTTTATCAATCAATTGTGTTCTGTGTATGAGATTAAATAAACTGGAGTATGTCCAAACTGGAGAAATGTAGAAGGACAACTTTGGAAGATTCAGACTTGACGAGACTGCTCTTTTGGACTGTATAGTAAATCTTACTTTCCTACATGCAAATTGAAGCTAAAGCTAAAAAAAAGGAAGAACGTATTTATTTATGTTCCTTTGGCATGTTGCACTGCGCATGTTACTGCTGATATCATGGCCTGGTCTCTACCTTGAGCCTGTGATTGGTGGCCATCACAAGTTTGTTTGTTTTGTGTTGATGAGCACTTTTAAGAAACACACACACACACACACACACACACACACACACACACACACACACACACACACACACTTGTTGAACTCCAACTGGAGAATAGTCTCTCTCAGCGGCTTACTGTGTCTCACTGTGTGATCAACAGGGGTTGGAAAATTACTGTGCAGTGCTTATTACACACACACACACACACGCACACACACACACACACACACACGCACACACACACACACACACACACACACACACATTTTGAGTCGCGCTCTTGTTGTTTTCAGTTGTTCCTATTTGAAACAGTGATTGCTCCGCGCCAAACCCTCTTTCAGTTTGTATTGTGTCTAAATGATGTTTTGTTTTGGGTGTGAATATCACGACTCTGTAGGAGAAGCTGCTAGAAGCTCTGAATTAGCAGCTGATCTGTTTGCACCTGGAAAAACACCAGACATATTCCCAGAGTTTTATTCATTCCCAACAGAAGGTTTGTGATGACAACAAGCTAATTGATAGTTTTGATAACACCGTTAGAAACTTTGTCTAAACGTGTTATTATATAAAAATAAAACTTTAAAAAATTTTTCTTACATCAAGAAATGCAGAAATGTGAGAAATATTATAATTATATAGAGAGAGACATACAGCAAAGTTTTATTTTATGCAAGAATTAGAAAATATGATGACGTACAGTCCAAGTTTGAAGTCAACTCAACTCTGAAAGTAGTAATTGAAACGATTACCAATGGGACTGTACGATATCACTGATTGATCTGTGACTGGGTGGGAAATATTCCAGTTTAACCTTCCAGTAGCACCTGTCAGCTGTAAATCCATGCACAGTCTGTGTTCGCAGCATCAGTAGAGCATTAGATCAAATGAAATTACTTTTAATTTCCAGTTAACTTGTACAGTATTGTATGTGAGAGCAAACCAGCAACCTCCCCCACCCCCCAATGTAAACACGATCTCATGTCAACAAGAACATTATGATTATATTATTACATCTTGAACAGCAGCACTGACATCAATGGCATTACTGAAAATGTAATCTTCACACTTGCAGCTAGGCGCTGAATACATGACATCCCTATTATTGATCTGCACATTTATAAAGGTAGATGATTAATAGCTGTGTGAGTATTGATTGATATGCTACTTTACATGATGGAGTATTGACATAACAAGGAGTCCTCAATGTAATTGCCTGACTTTTTCCTTTTTTTCCCCCCGGACTCTTCTCTCTTATTTCAGAAAATCCTCTCCAAGCATTCAGGACCCGGTAGGTCTGAGCAAAACCAGTCGTCCAACATAAAGGCTCAGCTGGCTGGAGGTCGAGGTGTCACTGTGGAAAACCCTCGATCAGCCCTGTCCCCACTTACCAACTCACTTCTGGAGCAGTTGGAGGCCCGTATCAAGGAGCTGAAGGCGTGGCTGCGAGACACTGAACTCCTCATCTTTAACTCCTGCCTCAGACAGGACAAGGATGCTTCAGAGCAGCTCCAGAGCTTCAAGGTAGGAAGGAAAGTGTCTCGGTTTGTCTCTTCGGATGTTTAATATATCAGTTAAATTAGGATTATATTAGTCTAATAGTAGAAACCTACAGCAGTCAGTTGTTACATATCAAGCTCTTTTATTTCATCATGGCAAACTTTTTTCTCAGTACACCTTCATTAAGCAAAGTACTCCCTTCATTTGTTTCGTGACTAAATGTAATCCTACAGAGAAGTACTATAGTCAGACCACCACCTTTACAGATGTGTATCTGAAATCACAATAAATGAAGATGAGTGTGGTTTGATAACTTGCTGATAATATATTTGGTGTGACACCTTCCACACAGGGCATGATTTACTAAACAGGGCAAAAAGCGTGTGACCGTAATCCCCAAATAATGCTCATTGGTTTGAAAGTTTTAAGGTTTTTTTTTTAACCAAAGCTCAGCAGTTTTCTAAACTCAGTTGCAGCCACTTCATTTCAATATCAAGCACAAAAAATAAGACGGGTGCGTTTTTCTCCTCCCTATATATGTTGCACATTAAGAAAGGGCCTCTTATGCAACAAGGTCACTCAGAAAAAAATGTCTGAATTGTCACCTTTTACACGTAATCTTGTCACTGTACTTTTTTAACACCAAAACCCAGTTTGCGTTGCCGCATCCGTTGATTAATATGACGATATGTTGATGGTATTAATGCTCCAATTGAATAAGAACAGATAGCAGGTGACACAGCATGGCTTTTTATGCTGTATCACCTGCTGCTAAATACTATAAATACCTTTTCAATGTTGGAACTTTTATAAAGTCTACTTTTGGGTAATAAAACTTCTATTTCAGGTGTATAGTTGGCCAAGATGGACAGATGAGTAGTAATCATATGATCCAGTGTAGTCTTCAGTTTAGTTTGCCCACACGTGTCCATTTATAAATTACTGCAGATGGAAACATCACTCGTCTCTGCCTGAACTAATACTTTACTTGATATTAGTGTGTATATCATGAGTATCTAGTTAAATGACTAAAGAAAAAGCCAATCAGTTGAGTTTATTCCAAAAGGTTACCAAGTTCACTATTCAAAATAACATTTCTTGCCTTTGATAAACCAGCTTCTGTATTTAATGGCACAAAAACAGCAACAAAATAATTCAACTACTTGACTTTGTATACAAATATGAATCTAGATAAACTAACAGTTTTCAAACA